TTTTCTTTCCCGTTTTGTAAATATTTATTTTGGGCACTTTTTCCCCTATTTTCTAAAATGCTCAACATTAATAATTAATGAATTAAAATTTATAAAATTAAAAACACAACAAAATCAATTCCTCTAACAAGCAAATTATTCAAAATTCTAAATTTTTAAATAAAATCATAAACTAACACAAGCAAACATTTCAAAATCCTAAACTTTTAAATAAAATCATAAACTAATATAAGCACATCTTTCAAAATCCTAAAATAAATCAGTAAAATCATTCATTATCCAACAATACAATTAAAGTAAAATCATTTAAAATCTAAAAATATTTAGGATAGGACGAATGAAATCAATAGTCTACGTTTAAAAAAAAATTTAAATTTAAAAAAAAAGTGTAAGTGCGGGCGGATTCTTGCGGGTGCAGGTAAAACCCGCAACTCGGAATAATGTCATATTCTAAACCGCATCTACCCGCATTATGTCTGCAAAACCATCCATTTATATGCAGATCGGTTCGGGTTGATCGAGTTGTACGGTTCGAATAACCCTATACCTAACCTTATATATTTGGTTTACCGTATTAGTTGTCATCACTATTTTGGTTTAATGGTCCCTTTATCTCAGCACTTATGCCTATTTCTAATAGAGCGGTGCCATATCACATGATAAACCAAATATGATATAAAAATGTGATCATTGCATTGCAATTAAGGGATTGTTTGGGTTGATCTAAATAAGTGCACTTTTTATTTTTTTACGAAAAGATGTGCAGAAAAGTAGAGAGATGATGTGATGAAAAAAAAATAAAAAGATAAAAATTGTGTACTTATTTAGGATAGACAAACTTGGCCTAAATGTCTATTGTACTGTCTGTTTCCAATACAATGACTTATGCCTGTTTGCTTGGAGTACATTCAAATGAATTTGTTAGTTTTCACAATAATTTCAATTTGGACTATTAGCAAAATTAAGGGTGAAATATCAATAAATCTCAAAATATAATCTTGTGAATTGTTTAGTCCTCCCTTTTTTCTTATGAATTCAAAAGTCCTATTAAAGTGAAAATTACATAAAATGGTAGCCACTTACATGTTTGGGTTTAATTAAGAATAAAAATGGGTTTCTCTAAATATAAAATTATACATTTGGGTAATTTGTATTCTAGAGGTTTTTTATTTTTCCTCCTAGAACAAATCTCATATTACAAAAAAAATATATATATATAACACTCTAATAGCGTAACACTCTAATGTAAACGTAACATCCAATGTAAAATACTAAAAAACTCTTTGATGCACTTTTTCCAAACATAACGTAACACTCCAAAAAAAACATGTTACTGTATTTTTCTCAAACATAACACTCCAATATAACATACCAAAAAAACTCCTTTGTGTATTTTTTTTTTTTCAAACGTAACACTCCAATCAAGGTAACACACAAAAAACTCCTTAGTATACTTTTTTCCAAACGTAAGACTCGAATCAATGTAATCACAATAACATTCTAATGTAATACACTCAAAAATACTAAAAAAATCATTAATGTAATTTTTCTAAACGTAACACTCATAATTTGAAATTATACATTTGTTCAAAATTTACTAAGAAATTTTTGTACTCCTTTTGGAATAGTTTGAAGAATCCCACATCATTTTAGAATGGTTTGAAGTATCCCATATCCTTTTTTTGGAGTGTTGCATTTGAAAAAAATACATCAATGAGTTTTTTTGTGTACATTAAAATGTTACACTAATAAACTTTTTTAAAGTGTTACGTTTAGAAAAAGTACACTAAGAATTCTTTTTTGAGTTTTACATTAGAATGTTATGTTTGAGTGTTATATGAGATTGTTAGAGTTTGAAATTATACATTTGCCCAAAGTTTTGGGTAATTCTATTTACACATCACCATTTCTCTCAATTCACAGCATTTCTCCAAATTTTTTTATTACATTTATCCTTTCAAATTACCAACACACCGCTCCCTTTCTCTCTCTCTCCCTCCCTCCTTTTCAACTCAACCCTAGCATTTGCCATTGTCGACCACCGATAGCCACCTTTATCCCTTCCGATCATCACCATCTTCATAACATTCCTTTCCTTCTGCCAATGTCATCTCATTGCCCCTTTTCGGCCCTCGTCACCTCAGCCACCACTATCCCCTCTCATTGTCCAGCATACTTTTCCTAATCCGATCGCTCATCTCCAGCTCTGTCATCCATTCCTCTGTCGTCCTCCGCCCTTTTCCATCCTCTACAACTAGCCCTATCCCCCTCCTTTCCAACTCCAATATCTCCTACAGCCCATTCTGCAACCCTCTCTCTTCTTCTTCTTATTCTTCTTCTTGCTAAAACCCTAGATCTAGAAACTCAAACCCTAGCTGGATGAGGGGTGGATCATGACGAAGGGTTATCGAAAGGGGTTGTTGGTAATGGGGGCCTGCGATGTTGTCATTAGGAATGAAAGGTTGGAGGGGTTACCGGCGATGATGGTAGCGAAGGCTGATGGTCATTGTGATTGAGAAAGATAGAGAAATTGCAAGAGGAAAAGAGATCGCGATTTAGCGATCGCGACTGAATGAAAGGGAACTAAGCGGTAACAGCGGTGGCGGAATGAGACAATGATGAGGGACTGACAGAATGGGGCTGCAATGAAATGAAGGGAGATTGGAGAGGATGAAGCAGTGGCAGGAGGAGGAGAGAGACTGGGGAGGGGCGGTGTCCATGGGATGTTGAGAGAGGCTGAGAAGGGAACGTCACTGGTGAGAGGCGGTGGTTGTCGGCAATGGTTAGGGTTAGGGTTTGTTGGACAAGATGAGGGTAGTTTAGTATTATCTGAAAATTATTGGTATGTATTAAGATAAAATTAAAATTTTTAATTTGTGTATGATGTGAATAGAGTAAATAATGTGTACTAAGATAAGTAATGGTATGTAAATAGAATTATCCCAAAGTTTTTTGCACTACTTTTGAAATATTTGAAAAATCTCACATCCTTTTAGAATGTTTGAAGGATCCCATATTTCAAGTCATTTTTATATTCCTTTTGAAATGTTTTCCAAATAAAAAAGATTTCAATATAAAAATTCATCCCAAATTTGATTCTCATAGATTGTGTACATTACCTTTCTAGCAAAAAAAAAAAAAAGAAAAAGAAAAAAAAGGTTATGACTGTAAATTTAATTTCTAAATAATATATTAAATCTACTTATCCAAAATCAATGGGCCTAATTGGTCTATAAGAAAATCCTTGAGACTAAATGGATTATCATTCCTCAAAATAGGATTTATATGTAAATTTTTCCAAAATTAAATTGAAAATGATTTTTGCCTTTTAACAAATGTTTGAGTTTAAACTCTAAAAAAATATACATGCGTGCGCGAACACAAACACATTTTTTATTATAGAGGCATCAATCAGGTTAGGGTCAAATTGAATTGAACTACATAGAAAGATTATGTGTCAATTCAATCCCAACACAATATCAAGATTAATGTAGTCATTTTAAATCTGATCAACAAAAATTTATAAATTTCAAATCCGCTCAATTAATCTATTATACATGAACTATTATTATTACTAGTATTATTAACATTAATATTATTATTATTACTATTATTATTATTATCATTATCATTATTATTATTATTATTTATTTAGGGGGAGGGTGTGTCTTTGGAAAAATTATTAGTTGGTCTTGGGATACCACGTGGCTATGCCCCAGGCCAATCACAAACTCTCATGTCCCCTCATCGTCCCCAATCACCCAACACAAAATTGTAGGCCCCACCACTCCACCAATCACAATGCATGAGGAGCATCACGTGGCGCTGCTCCGAAACTAACCAATAATTTCTCGTGTCTTGGAGTGCTTTTAAATGAATTTCTCATTTTTAATAATAATTTCAATTTGTACTATTAGTAAAATTCAATTGAAAATGATATTTGTATTTTTAACAAATGTTTGAGTTTAACCTCTAAAAAGAACACACGCGCACACACACGAACACCTATATTTTTTATTGTTCATTTTTTTATAAATATTTTGAAAAAAATGCAAATAGGCAGAATGTTAAAAGTATTTTTTTTTTTAAATATTGTTTAGTTCAAAAGTACAAATTGAAAAGAAAAAAAAAATTGGTTAAAAAAAAAACAAAATGAATCAAAATAATAATTTTGTAACATTTTCACTTAAAAGAATTAATGTTAAGATAATCAATAACCTCATTCACATATATTTGCTAAATTCATATAGGTGATTTGCTTATTTATTTATTTTATAAAGAAATTATAACTAAGTATAATTTAATTTGGCTATAGAAAAAAAAAACAAAAAAAACAAAAAACAAAAAAAAAAAAAAAAAAAAGTGGCAAAGTCATATTATTTTCAAACTCAAATATATTTTTTGAGTTTTTTATTTTTCATGTTTTTATTTTTTTTAATAAATTTTGTTCATGTTTCATTATTTTTTTATTTTATTTTTAGATACTCTAAAAAATAAAATTTGTGAAGAAAACTGGGGACAAAAAATATGAAAAGGTCAAAAATAAAAATAAAAAATGACACATTTTTCATAGTTTTTGTCTTTAATAAAATTTTTTTTTAATTTTCTTTTGTAAATATCTTAATTTGCAAGAGTATTTGACTAAAGTATGAAAAAGAAAAAAAACAAAAAGAAAAAGTGTTTATTGAAGACAACCAAAAAAAAAAAAAAACCAACTAAAACTAGAAAACTAGAAAACAATTTAAAAATAAATAAATAAACATTAATTAACTTTTAATATATCTAGCAAAAGAATTTAAAATTGTTGCAATAATCTATTGCATGAAATAATATATTGAGTGATAAGCACGTTTTATATAGTGTGAAAAAAATGGTTCGGAATTGTGTAACAATTAGGGTTTTGTGTAGAAAGAGAATAGACTGGACATAAGTCAATTAACAAGCTTGTGGCATGATCCGATTGTGTCTAGTGAAAGTGAAAGAGCTGAAATACTTTTATCATGAAAGAAACTTCAGTAAAAGAATTATGGAAGAAATTGAAAGATAAATGCATGACCAAGAGTTTAGAGAATCGTCTCTACTTGAAGAAAAAGTTCTTTTGTTTCCAATATCGAGAAGGTATTTCAATATCTAAATACTTGAATGCTCATAATAAGGTATTTGCTAATCTTCAGAATTTGGATGTTGATATTGAAGATGAAGATAAAGCTCTTTTATTGCTAAATTCTGTTGATATTGAAGATGAAGATAAAGCTCTTTTATTGCTAAATTCTCTTCCTGACACATATGATCATCTTATCACTACTCCGTTATATAGTAAGAATGAAATTTGTTTTAAAAATGTGTCTGGTAGTTTGATTAACAATGAGTACAGGAAAAAAGACAAAGAGAACTACAATGACACATTTAGTAACACTTTGACAGTTAGAGGTAGATCCCATTCAAAGTTAGCAGGCGCTAGAGTTAATCCCGCAAAAGATGAATGTGCCTATTGTCATGAGAAAGGGCATTGGAAAAAAAATTATCCAAGTTTGAAGGGAAAAAGAAATAATGTTTCCAAAGTCAATGTAAGATACTAATTATTCTAAATCTGAATTTTAGACCGTTGGTGTGGTCTTCGACCACTTGTTGGTCTTGGAAAAAAAATTCGCATTTGTCAATTTGAAGAAAATCTTATGGCAATCTACTTCAGGTCTTAGTAAAACTTTGGTTTTTTGAAATTTTAGAATTTGACATCATGATGGAGTTTGGAATTTAGATTTGTTGTAGAAAATTAGAAGAACTAGTTCATTTGGTTCTACAATTTGGATCGGCCTGATATGTCTCAAGCTTTTGAGTCTGCTGTTTCGTTTTGATTTGTTTGTAAAGCGCTCGTTTGTTTTGTTTAGTACAACAGAATTTATTTTGGACATTAAAGTGTGTTCGCATTGGAGCACTTGAATGGTTGGTTGTTTATTTGTGATCACAGGTTAGAAAGATACTCATAGTGAGCTGAACATGACATAAAACCCAAAATGGAGTTTCTTCATGCTCATCATTCATAGCCTTGCATTGTTTCGTAGAAGAAAAACAACACTACTCCTCCCACAAGGCCCCATTGGCCTCCCTTTCTTTGAAGAAAAATGCTTGGGAGCACTAATTAGTGCTCCCACTAATTAGGTGGCAGTGGGTCCCGCTATTAATGATGTGATGTTTTGGTTTTGGAGTTGTATTTTTTTATTTTTTTTTTTACTTTTTTAATATATTAGTGCTATTAGTGGTGGTGTTTTTAGTGGGATGAATCATTGTTGTTCTTTGAAACCTCTTCGAGGTGGGTCCAAAGCCCCATGAATCACTGGCAAAGTTGGCTAAGACGTATGGCCCACTCATGACCATACGTCTCGGCAACAGAACCAGCGTGGTAGCCTCTTCGCCAGACACAGCCAGGGAGATCCTCCAAAAACACGACGACGCCTTCTCTGGCAGGATCCTCCCTGATGCTGTCCCCAACGAGCACTTCGAGCTGGCCGTGATCTGGTTATCCGCGGGTGATCAATGGCGGATCATTCGCTGCGCGCTGAACACGTACCTGACGCGTCCGCAGAAGCTAGACTCGTTGCGGGGACTAAGACACAAGGCTGTGGAAGAGTTGATTGGGCATGTTAAAGAGAGACGAGATCAAACAGTGGCGATCGGAGAGTTGGCATTTATTACTGCTCTGAAAATGATGTCGAACACTTGTTTCTCTATAAACGTGGCTGGTTTCGAGTCTGGAGAGGCCCAGGGGTTCCTGAATAAGGTAAAAACGATCATGGTGGTGGATGGGAAGTTTAACATTTCAGATGTGTTTCCATGGTTGAAGCCTTTGGATCCTCAGGGATTAAGACGCAGAGGAAAGGTTGCTTATGACTGGCTTCATGCTGTGAGTGATGGGTTCGTGACTAGGCGGCTTAAGCATAGAGAGTCGAATCTGCCGAGTTATGGGGATTTAATGGATTCCCTCCTTGACTACAGCCAGGAACATGGGTCTGGATTCGGCTGCAAACATATCATAATCTTACTTGGGGTATGCTTTCTTTCTCTCTCGAAGCAATTGATTTAATTAAAAAAAAAAAATATTCTTACCATCTGAATTTTTACATAAATAATCTATTCGTGAGACAACAATATATGAGCCGTTCAAATTATTGAATTCGGCCCCACAACTAAACCATGTAGCCCAATCACTACCCCAATTATTAATTTTAAAAATGAATTCAAGATAAAATATTTGTGTCTATAAAAAAAAAATAATAATAAATTATATAGTTTGTGAGATGTTTGGAACAATATATTTTCAATTTGATTAAATATGTGAGCCAAAGCTGTTTTTAATAGTACTTTATTATTAGGATCAGAACTATTTTATTATAATTGTTCAAATTCAAACCAAATACTAGAGTTTGAACTTGAAAAATCTAGAAATCCCCTAGATGTTGATTTGTGATTATGTATCAATTTTAAGCAGACTTGACTACAGCCAGGAACATGGGTCTGGATTCGGCTGCAAACATATCATAATCTTACTTGGGGTATGCTTTCTTTCTCTCTCGAAGCAATTGATTTAATAAAAAAAATATATATATTCTTAGCATCTGAATTTTTACATAAATAATCTATTCGTGAGACAACAATATATGAGCCGTTCAAATTATTGAATTCGGCCCCACAACTAGACCATGTAGCCCAATCACTACCCCAATTATTAATTTTAAAAATGAATTCAAGATAAAATATTTGTGTCTATAAAAAAAATAATAATAAACATTATATAGTTTGTGAGATGTTTGGAACAATATATTTTCAATTTGATTAAATATGTGAGCCAAAGCTGTTTTTAATAGTACTTTATTATTAGGATCAGAACTATTTTATTATAATTGTTCAAATTCAAACCAAATACTAGAGTTTGAACTTGAAAAATCTAGAAATCCCCTAGATGTTGATTTGTGATTATGTATCAATTTTAAGCAGAATATGACAATTCCAATCAAACAATCAAGACAAAGAGACACAACGATTTTACGTGGAAAAAACCACAATTGGACACCTCCAATTGTGATCAAAAAACCACGAGCAACAGCCACAAGAACAATCCACTAAGAAGATTTAAAGGAATTACACAGGTATACTCTCAATTACCTAGCGAATCCACAACGCCTAATTGAACCAACCTCTATGTGCCTCTTCCAACCCCATCTTCACCTCGGAATTGTCTTTCCAAAGAGCCACTCCAGGATCCACCGAAGCTTCAGGCTCGAATTCTTCAGACTTCACCGAAGAACAACTCTCTCTTTTGTGTATAACAAACCAAACCTTTGATATACTCTCTTTAAACTATGAGTTGAATACTCAATAAAAACATCAAAGAAACTAGCAAAATATCTCCACATATAAACCTTAAGATCCAAAAATAAGATTTAGAGAAGTTCCTCTAGTGTTGGGAGAAAACCAACTATTTATAGAAAACCAAAGCAATCCTAGTTTCAGAAGAAAACCAATTCCTTAATCAAATCTGGAAATCTGGGATCGCGCGGTCCGCTCGAGCGTAGGTTTGCCCGCTCGAGCGGAGACTTCAAATTCTGTGATTTCATACAGGCTCCACGCTCGAGCGGCGGTTTTGACGCTCGAGCGTCGAATCACACCATCCAGTACTTTTTCAGGCGACTGCAGAGATGCTGAGAGCTTCCAATCCCCACTCGAGCGTCCCTTTCCCCGCTCGAGCGGGGAGACCAAAATTTGAAAAACTGGAAAAATATAACATGATCGGACAGGCAACTTTGAATGCATTTTTGCATTTTGCTTCGAGGGCGCTGCCCCGAACCCGCCAAAGGGCGCTGCCCCCTCGACCCCCGCGAGCTGACCGGGCAGCTCGATCCCCGTCATAATCAGCGAAGTGGCAATCTTGAAAGCTTTATCATCACAAACTTCTCTGAAAAGGCTCAATTCGGGTTGGATTCGCATCTAAACACTCATAGCCTCACTGAAATAAAAAGTGCGAATAAAATTACAACTCAAAGGAGTTTTGTCAAACGGGATTGCCAAGAAATAAAACCTAACATAACTAATTCAGATCAACTATTCAATTCTAACCAATTTTTTTACACAGGAGTTACTACTTGCAGGAACTGAAACTAGCTCCAACACAGTTGAGTGGGCAATGACTGAACTGCTACGTCATCCCGATATAACGTCGAAGGTGCACAAAGAAGTTACAAAAGCAGTAGGAGAAGAAGGAAGAATAGAAGGATCTAAAATCCTTGCACTGCCTTATTTACATGCTGTTGTAAAAGAAACAATGAGGTTGCACCTATCAGTGCCTTTTCTTATACCCCACAAGAGTGAGACAGACGTGAAGATGTGTGATTTTCAGATACCAAAGAACACCCAAATCCTTGTGAATGTGTGGGCAATTGCTCGAAACACTGCTTACTGGGAAAACCCAACTCAATTTATGCCGGAAAGGTTTTTGGGATCTAATATGGAGTATAGAGGCCAGCATTTCGTCTTTCTTCCTTTTGGTTTGGGTCGTCGGATGTGTCCTGGACTTCCTCTTGCTCAAAGGGTTGTGAGCTTGATGATTGCTTCACTTGTGTATCATTTTGACTGGAAGCTTCCTGATGGTTCGACACTGGAAAATTTGGACATGACTGATACTTTCGGCCTCACCTTGCAGAGGGCAACGCCACTTCTTGCTATTCCGACAACAAGAGGTTAAACTTGCAACTGAGGCTTTAAATCTCAAGCTGCACAATACTTTGTGCAAACTAGCAATGAATAACGAATTCTATTTACTTTGCTTTAGGGTTTTTCTGCTTCATGTTTCTCAGTGACACGGTTTAAGTTACTAGTTTTCGATTTAATAAAAGTCTCTCTTTTCTTTGTTGTTCAAAAAAATAAATAAATGGCCTTAGGTCTAAATGATTGATTTATTTTGATTATGCGGACATGATTTAATGACATATATTGATGAAAAATATAAATTATTATTTTAAAAGACTTTTGTTTGGTATCCTTATATTTTTTTCTCTCTATTCTCAAAGTACTATCAAACACAGCCCACCGCTGCCATAGCCCCATCACCGCTGGTGACTCGCTTCGCTAGAAAAGTTGCCAATAACGATGGAGGGATGTGGGTAGGGATAGATAAGTGGATACGTGGCAAACAAATGTACAGATAAGTGGACACATGAATAGATAAGTAGACAGATAAATAAATGTAATATAATTTTCCAAATTATTGTTGTCTTTTTGGAAAAACAAAAAAAATAATTTGGTGAATGAAATCTTGTTTAATATTAATGCATAAATCTGTGTGCATATTTATTTTTTAGAAATTCAAATCTTATTTAATATTAATTAAAATATTAAATGGAAAAAAAATAAACAAATAAAACCTTATAGTTTTTGCTTATACGGATGGAAATAATTAATAAATATTTTTTTTAATCAGCAAAATATATATATATATATATATATTGATGATAATCGACATGAATACATAAGACCATACATCAATAAAGAAAGAGACAACCAAAAGCAAAATTGTGCACCTACCTAATCCCAACTAGGTTGGCACCAAGTAAGATACACAGGCAAAAACTAGCTCAGGCAAGTTGGTGAGAAACCAACTCAGAAGATAGACAGAAGAAAACAAGAAGCAGAAAAAAAAAACCAGAAAAAAACAACAGCAACAGCAACCACAAGAAGGACCAAGATGCAGCCTCACTTCAAGCCTTCCCCTGTATCACCTCTGTTACTTAACCTCCTTAGCCGTCCAAACATCAGCCCCACCAATGCAGATCCTAACTTGTTGAAGGTTGTGAACCAAATTATTCACAGAATAGGCCAAAGCAGAGGATGAGTACTTAACCCACAAAGCAATTCTCACCTTAACAGCTTCACAAAGTTCATCAAGAACAGGTTGCCTCCCATTAAATACACACTCATTCCTTAGATTCCAAATGGACCAAAAAATAGCTAATGGGATGACATTCCATATCTTCTTTTCCATCTTGTTCAATCTACACCCAAATCACCAACTAAACAAGCCCTGTACTGAACCTGGTGATACCCATTGTAATCCCCACCAGTTAACAAAATAAGACCAAGTCAGCCAAGCAAAAGGACAGTGAAGTAGCACATGGTTTATAGTTAGTTTCCTCTTCTTTACAGAAAACACAACAAACATCAACATTACCATTTAGGATCCCAATTCTTCTTAAGAAACTAGCAGTCTTAATTCTATACCTCCAAACCAACCACCCAAATGATTAATAAATATACTTGAAAATAATCATCACAACGAATCTTAAGCACCAAAAAAAAAAAAAAAAAAAGAGACAAAAAATGTTAATATCATGACATGTATTTTTTTTAAACTTAAAATATCATTACGAAGAAAGATCATAGTTCGAATTTCCCCACATGCGTTATTTCTCATGTATTTATTAGGACTTTGCTCTCTCATTTTGGGAGTTTTTTTTTATAATGTATTATATTTGATTTTTGTCCCGATAAATAAATAAATAAATACATACAAATAAATAAATAAATAAATAATACAAAAAACAATATATAAATAAATAAAGCCATTATCACTATCAAAATGAAAGGAGATACATTATCGCTATCCCTGCAAAAACTTACAACAAAGCTATAAATAAATAAATAAAATCCGTAATGCAGAGTTCTTATTCTTTGAAATAAATTTGTCAGCCTATGATAATATAAAATAAGCTCAACAAAAACAAAGGAGGATTAACTGAAGATCACACCTTAATTTTTAGAGCCTTGCATTAATTCTATTCAAGCTTAATACATCATCACTCCTAGCAAAAGCAGCATTTATTTCGAGTCCCACCCCTTTGGATGTCGCATTACTGCTACTAGCTTGAGAACAAAGGTATGATAATGATTGCAGCCATGAAACTAAGGTCGGTTTTCGTGTAACATCATCAGATTCTGCAACTTGTGCATATAAATCATTAAGAACCATGTTCTGGCCATCTCTGGGGAATATGGCAATCAATTGAGCTAACTGTTTCATCAAACTGGGTAGGACCTGTAAAAAAGATGGTCATTAATACTTTCTTTTTTTAGATTAAAGGTCATTAATACTTTCGTCTTCAAAGTCGATGCGATATCCAAATCATTTTCTACAACTTGTTTGAAAGCAATATAATTCATACAAAAATAAAATAAAACAAAACAAAAAATGAATTTGATTTATAATCATTAGCAGAATAATAAAATGATTCTGTTAATATATTTGAGTAATTAAATGAATAACTAAACATTTCATAATTAGTAAGCTGGATTTATTGTCATAACCTATGTTTTCCAACATAATCAATCTAGTTGAACCATAACCATGAGCAAATGCATAAATATTCTCCTAGAAGATAAGTGGATATATGAAGTTATGTTGCTGAGATCTATCTAGTACAACATATCTTTTGAATTCCCTCATTTGAAATTAAAATGGAACTAAAGATAAAAGATTTTGGGGGTTATTAAATGATACAGTCAAAACAAGGTATTGGTAAATAGAAACCTGGATAAACTTATCAACACCTTAACATTGAATTCTATGAATAAAATATTCATTCAAAACAAAAACAAATCAAATACAAATACAAATACTAACTATTAATTAGAATTTACCTGTATATCCACCAGGGAGAGAAGCCTTAAAAGCAAATCTAGGATTTTCTTACAAGGCTCCAATTCTTCTTGCCAATTCTTCCACAGATCAGCCTCTTCAGTCATAACTTCACAGCAGAGGTTATGAGTTTTTTCAACAAGACTGTGGATAGTGTAGAATATAGACGGACTTCCAGCGGGAAGATGACGAACCAAGGCAACAACTCCAGAAGCCATTCCCTCAAAAGGGGTGATCCCAGGATATCCCTATATTTACATCAACGAATCACATTAACAGAGCTACTTTTTTTCATTTTCATGATCAAGTTCGGACTTGACAAGTATGGTAATCAGAAGCTTTGAATAATACCTCCAATGATGTCTGAATGCAATAAAAAACAAGCTGCTCCTTTAGTAAAACTCTTTCATCATCATTAGAGTCCTTCCCAGAAGATACAAATGCCACAAACAGTGAATGCGAGGCTCGAGCTACTTTTCCATCAGGATGTCCCATATATCTAATCGAATATGTAATAAGGAACCCAAGCTCATCATGACCAACAAATGTTAAGGGCATTCTTTGTTTTTTGCTTTTTCAAACTGTTTTCTGTTCTCAAAAAACATTTAAAAAATGGAAAATGACACGGAAAGCTTGTTTTAGCTTACTTTAGCTTTCAGGAAGTTAAGGAGAGTTAAGACGATGAGAGCGAACCTCTAGCGAGGAGGTTCACTCTCTTTGATAACAAGCCGGACGAAAGGACATTCTCTCTCTTGCCATTGATTCGTGCTACTGAGCGCTATGCACTTGCCGACATCAATGAGAATTAATTATTGGAGACAGACCAGTAAAACAGCAGTAACCACAGATACAATCCTCAATCAACAAGGACAAAATGTAATATGTGTTTATGTAGCTATTGGTCAAAAAGCAACTTCTGTGGCTCAGGTAGTGACTACTTTCCAAGAAAGGGGAGGGATGGAATACATTATAAACTATTTTCAAGAAAATTTTTTGAAAACCCCCATTTTTGGGAGACAGTATAAGTTGTTTTCTAAAAATTTTTGAAGTAGATTTCACACAAAAATGAAGACGAAAACAATAGGTGCTTCGAACTTTTCATATGAAAAACAAAAATATAAAACAGCCCTAAAAGCTTCCCAGTAAACAAAGTTCTGTAATATAGGATACAAGAACATAATTGGAGCTACCAAATTTCTAAATTTAGAGGCAGGTAAACGTTCAATGCAAGTTGGAATAACCCGCAGGTGAAACAAGATCCGAGAAGTCTGCACCTGATCTTTTGACCATGTATATTCCGTTGTCTGCAAGCTGGAAGGTCCTACAAGGTAAAAATAGATATAACTCAGAGGGTTATGCTAGTAGTACTAATACAAAAATGCACCAATGGTGATGACCTTTTCATTTTTATTTTCTATTTTTGACGAGTACCAATAATGATGACCAATACCTGGTTGATTTGTCAAGTCAGAATAAGAAGGCATGGATTCTACAAATAAGACACAAGCTGATTCATTCTCCTGAACGGCTACAACAACTGCTCTAATTGTATCCAGGTATTCTGGTAACCGCATCCTCCGAAAATACTCCATGCAAGAAAATGAAACTAATATCTTTACAGAAATATCCATCCGCAATTCCAGGGTAAATTTTGAATCTAACTTGTGCTTTGTGACAGCCAATGCAAAAACTACAACCATAAGGAAAGCAGATTCGGCAATCTTCTCCAGGTCCCCTAGTAACTCATCCTCCCTACCTCGGAGGAATAAAGCAACTTGCCGATGTCCCAAGTAGGTATCTTGACAGTAGTCCCAAATTAGATTCTCCACTATACTTTGGCTGTCTTCATCAGCTGAGGCATACTGATTGCAGAAAACACCAGTTATGGCCCCTGCTTCCTTAAAAAGAACACTGCTAAGATGTTCTTTGATCTCATTAGGCCCCAATTGTGCCAAATTTCCATGTTGGTATTGAAGAACCCTTGTATACAAAGATTGTAAAGGAAATATTTCAGTCAACAATGCTGAAGCAAGGCATATAAGCAGAGGAGCCCGGAAAGAAACAGAACCGCTTCTACCCAAAGCTAATGAAATGCACTTCAGGAGAAGACTGTTTTCAGGATTATTACTCGAATTAGTGAAACCTCTTGTTCCAGAAATCAACACTCTTGCTACAGCTTCAATCCTTTCCTCTGCAGATATTTTTAGTTGCTTTAGAGCATTTGATACAGATCTACTGGAAGCCCTCAGAGCTCCAGCTGCACCCATGACCATGGCAAATGAAGCATGATTCGGATTTGAAGTCTCTAAAACCTCTTTGGTAAAGACATCAACTCTCTCCAAAGACTGTGAACTGATGAAATTAGACAAAACCCATTCAATCAAATGTAGTATCATGAGCCCGTGAGAAACATTACCAGAAGGTCCATCTTCCCTATTCCAAATTCCAAACAAAGAGTCCAGAATTCTGACAACAAAAACATTCCTAGAAGAAGATAGAGCGTACCCAATCCCTGCAAGAACATCAGGAATATGCTGTTCAGATGCGCTGAGTAATTGGTATTCCTCTTCCAATAGCCTACAGAGCAATTCCAAGCAAAGTGTTTTGGATTTTTCGGACATGGAAGGCGCAAAAGAAAAGGCGCCCAGGAGGACAACTACTTCAGAGAAGAAGAAAGAGCTCTCATCAGAATTACACTGAGAAGAGCAAAGGTGTGAGAGAATCTTAACAGCAGAATCAATTAGTACTGGAGATGGTCTAGAGGATTTCCTGACCCAGATATAAAGAAGCCTGAGAAATAGAGGATAAGATTCAGGAGGAGAAGAGATGTTTGTCGAGGATAGAATGGAAATGAGAAGCTTTGCTTGGGGGTCTGCAACATAAAGGGAGGCTTGGCTGTTAAGCAGCGTCTTCAGAGACTGAAGGTGATGGGGACGAAATGATTGATGTTGAAGGGAGTCTCTAAGATCAGCCCATGCTTGAATTATGGCTCGGGCAGGAGAGGAAGAACTTCTCGAGATGATATTGATGCTGCTACCACTGTTGCTCCTCAGCCATTCTTCAAGGAAAAAGGTTTGAACTTGTTTAGCCATATTATGCTTCCCTGAAAACAGTGATGAAACTTGATTCAAATAGGCAATCAAAACACAGAAGAGCAAAAAAGGTTAGTGTTCTTCTTAAAACATATGCATGAATAGATAAATACAAGCCACTTATCAAAAAAGAGAAAGAAAGAAAATAATAAGTATCAAACAAAATCAAATTTCTTTCTCAAAATATTTAGAGGGGAAGATTAAGCTCCTCTGTGGTGATTTCTCTCTAGCATCCATTAATGTTCACTATAATCTCTCTATGGATCAGAGTAATACATTTTTTCCTAAAACAACCACCTACCTAAGAGCCCAAATTCAAAAATCAGCCCACATCCTGAAAAACCCTATTGTTTACTAAGATGGATCAAAAACACCTTAAATGGCCAAAGTTTTTCCATCAAGAGATTAAGCTGGACCTAATTTGGGCTACTAAAGCACCGGCACAAATTGATTGACTGGGATTAACTGCTCCACAAGGCACCCAGTAGTACATATGAGCTATGGTACATGGACCCAAGTACGAGTGTTGGGTGTGGTATATATTTAAAGGTCAGACTCATCGAATCTAAAATTTGCGGGTATGCGGACTCGGCAAAAAAGAGTTACATTTTTATATTTTTAATTTATTATGTGAGATAAAATGATATTATATGTAATAAATAGCGTCAAAAAGGTGTTTTATAGCCATTACACAACAAATGATACATATAAGATAGTTTTAAATACAAATATATGAGAAGTGTCCAATGGAAAGTATTGGACACATATCCCATACCCTTGTCTGAGGGTTGGGTGTCCAACACGGATATTTAATTTATTTTGAAGAGTCCATGTAACATAGCATTTGAGGGAATACATACATCATACATGCAACATAGCATTTGAGGGAATACATACATCATACATGCATACAAATATACATATATATTTACAGGACTATTATATATGCTCCCTGTATGTATGTTTCATAAAACTAGAGTTAAAACAACTAGAGTTAAAACAAGGTGGTGAATACCAAAGCAATTATCGACATAACAATTTTGGGTTAATTGAGTTGTTCTTCATTTTGCTGAAAACAAAAAATTCCATAAAAATAGTAGGGCAAATTACACTAACGGTCCCTATAGTTTGGGGCTTGTGTCATTTTGGTCCCTAATTTTCAATTGTAACACATTTGACCCTAAATTTTGAATCTTATTCCAAAAAAGGACAATTGAAGATATCATTACTTAATTTCAAGGGCAAAATCACCAATTTGATAAAGTATAAACTAATTTGATAAAAATAAATGTCAAAAAAATATTTTTAAATTTTTAAAAATTATTTCTACCCACCAAAGATAAAATTATATAAAATTGATAAATCTTTTACACTTTTTTTTATCAAATTAATTTTTATTATGTGTTTGGATGATGATCATATAATGGGTGGTTATTTTTATTTTCATTAAATTAGTTTCTATTTTTTCAAAAGTCAAATATGACGACAATTTTGATATCATTATTAAACCAATCTATTAAATCAAAAAAACCAAAACTAAAAACATTTCATATATTAAATATATCGATTACACATTAAAAGCCTAACAACCACCCATTATATGATTATCATCTAAACAGATAATAAAAATTAATTTGGTAAAATAAATAAAAAAATAAATGCGTAAAAAATTTATCAATCTTACATAATTTTATCTTTGGTGGATATAAATAATTTTTAAAAATTCAAAAATATTTTTTGACATTTATTTTTGTCAAATTAGTTTATATTTTATCAAATTAATGACTTTGCCCTTGAAATTGAGCAATGATATTTTCAATTGTCTTTATTTGGACTAAGATTCAAAATTCATGATCAAATGTATTACAATTGAAAACTCATGAACTAAAATGACATGAACCCCAAATTATAGGGATTATTAGTGTAATTCGCCCAAAATAGTAAACGTCAAGAATTGATTTTACTTATCATTTTCCAACCATGATTCTTCTCAAGCTCTAGCGTCATAAACTCAGTTCAAAAATCCCCAAAGGCTTGTTGAAGCTCCAAAACTAAAGGTTTCCTTCATTGAGACATTTTATCAAACTGGTAGTAGGCAAGAAAATAAAATGCTAGTTAGGTCATTTAAATAGCGAAAGATAGGTTAATAATACAAGTGGAAGCAATTACAATGAAATCAAGATGTTATTTTTCAATCATTATAGGGTTTTTTTGACAAATTAGACTTTACCCACCTTGAATTCAAAATGCTACACTTTACCAACTTAGTCAGCTCTAATATTTTCCCTAAAAATGAAATAAATCCCCTTTCCTTGTCTCTCTTTCTATACAAAAATGATTTCTATGCCTTCATTGAAATTTTCAAAAATAAATAAATAACAAAAATTGTAGTTTCTGATGATAATAATAAAACCACCCAAAAAAAAGTGGAACACAACCTATGATTCGATTATGGTTCATTATTGGGCAAAGTTTTTCAACAAACAGTTGTTGGGCATGTATTGCAATCATTGAAAAATTGAAGCAACAGATAATTAGAAGTTGTGCACAACACAGGGTTGCTCTCAGCGAGGCATTTCATCGAACAACAAAAAACATATTACGAATATGGACAATTCATGCTTTTACAAATAATTTTACCTAATCGTTGAAGTTACCTGTATAGATATTCGTCAAGAATGATGTAGGCACTGGATGAAATATCTGGGAAAAAAAAAACAGAAGCAGCTAAGTAGTCGGTTATTGTTGGCCACGAAATGGTCAGGAAGAAGTTTCCGATTCCAACAAAATCATCATCAACGTCAAGAGAGAGAGAGAGAGAGAGAGAGAGAGAGATTTAACTGGGTTTAGTCCCTTCTTGTTCAGAGCAAAATGGGCAAAAAATTTCTCATCTGAAGCACAAGTCAGGTTGATGATTTATCAAACAAAAATAAGTCAATAATCTATCTATATATATACTAATGTATGCCGTGCCTAAAGACATGGTGGACATAATTTTGGGATTGATCTTCTCCTGTCCAATCTTTTATGTAGTACATAAAAAATTTATTCACAAAATAATTTCAGAGAAAAATTGTTCCTTTCTTATATAGCATTACTGTTATACTTACCCAAGCTATCAATCTTTCTTGTTCTAATTGAGGAGGTTGGTCTCATTTGAACTTCGGCTGAAATTGAAAAAGAACATAATTGATTGCAATATTAACAAACCATCTCTCATGTCAACTATTGATAGGTAATGTTTAAAAAGAAAAGGCATGGAAAGAAATATCGTGCACTGCCACTCACCCCCATTGTGCAAAATTTAAAGTGTATCAAAAGGCCCAAAATGTAGCAAGAAAAATGTATCAGTTAGTTAAATAAAATGTATGACTATCAAACTCATGAACATATTACACTCAAGTCTCAGTGATATTGCAATATTAGTTAGTTACAATCATTTCACTTTTCTAAGCTTAAGTCTCAGACTCTTCATATTGCACTTCTCTCTTGCTAAGGCTTAGTTAATAAACCAATTACAGAGAAAGAGAAAAATAGAAAGTAAAAAAAAAAAAATAGAAGAAACTAAAACTTAATCAATAAAACCACCTCTCTTTGGGCAATCAACAAACCCTCCAATTAAGCATGTATGTCTGTGGATTACACCAATCTCAAAACATCAAGCACTATCTATAATAGTTGCAAAAGCAAAAATCATCAAGCACTAATTCAAAGTTCTAAACACATTATTAGATTTTAGCTCTTAAACACATTATCAAGCACTAATGTTTATAAATGCCTCCCACCATCATCAAGCACTAATGATTCAACAAATATATTTAATTTCTAAAATTGAGAATGTCAATTTTTTAGAGACATGGAATTCAACACTTAGGTAGATAACTTTTCAAGAAGTAATTTGTCTTACACCATTTTATTCATTTATCTGCACTTTTTGCCTCCCTCTACTCTCCCTCATCCCACACCCACACACCCTCTCTGTTTTTTAATCTATGTAGCAAATATTTTATGCATCCAGACACGTGGGGTTCACACAAGAAACTACTATATATCAAAAAAATGTTTCAAAGACACATCCATATAGTGGGAAAAAGAGAGATTTACTGAGCAAGAAAAATGTTCTTTCTTTGATAACCTTCATGGACATCTTTGGCACCACAATGCAAGGAGCATTCGTTTCAAAACTCTTCAAACCACAATCTCAAAAGAAAGATTTCATAAACTCACAACTGAGATCCAATTGAGAGCATTCAAACTATTCAGAAGCAATGCAAACAAAAAACAAAAAACTGCTAATTTTTTTAGGTCTTTTCCAAAAACAATAAATAATAATAATAAAAATAATTAACAAAGAGAACATTATCCAAAAAATTGATAAATTCATAAACTCAACCCAGTCAAGCAAAGGGGAACTTTTTGCTAACCCCAGTCAAAAGTTCAGCAAAGGGGAACTTTTTCCTAAACCAAAAGTTTGATCATTCAATTAATCTCCCCTCACCTTCCATTCCCTGTGAATTAATAAACACATCAACTAGAGAAACAATTTATCAAGCATTTGGTGAACATTGTAGTAGTAGAAATTATATAGTGGTAAAACCAATTATTTTGAACTTCAATTATTGCAAAACTATACCCAAATCTTAAGAACGGAATGAATGACAATAATTTAATTAAAATAACAGGAAATAGGTTGTAATTTATTCCAAGTGACATGAGGAAGTTGGTCTTTGAACTATGGAAATCGAGTAAAAGATTAAAGCATCAACTTACAACATGAATGTACAAAAAATAAAAAATAGAAGCAAAAAAAGGAATGGAATCTTTATTACCTCTATGGATGGAGCCTTTAGAACTATTCTCCTCACCAAATTTCGACACCTCCGTCACATGTACAAAGCATTAAGAATAAAAACATCAGCCTTACATGAATTGATAATTTCTCTATAACACTCCAACTCAACAAAAAATTGTGCATTGATTTTAGAAGAAAAGATCTTTCATACTTAAAACTAATTCCCTGGATAACAACAACAACAACAAAATAAAAATAAAAATAAAAAACAAAAACAAAAACAAAAACAAAAAACTACAACAATAAAAGGGGGGGTGTCCAACACAGATGAAGGAGCTGAAGGGTTTGCAGAATTCGAAAGGAAGATTCATGTTAATTTTATATATATTTCAACAACAGCAGCAAAAATAAATAAATCTATAAATAAAACTAACAAAACTCCACTGACTTATGGATATTATGTTAAGGGGAATAAAGAGATATAAACAACTAATAAAAGAGGAAGGGAGAAAGTCAAAAGATAGAATATAGTAATCCTAAAGACCTTAAAAAGGTTGTGTGAACCCTTTTCTAACAATAAAAAACTAAAAAAGAAAGTCTAACATCGATTTTAATGTAACGAATCGAATCGATTCACTTCACAATTCACCGATTTGGTTCACCGATTCACCTAGGATTCATGGCTATTTGCGATTCATACAATCTATTCGTATTGATTACCTACTGAATCGAATCGCAAATCGTATGATTCCAATAACAGAGATTTCAACACATTTCATATTCATATAAATGAAATCAAAACCATAAAGAAACACAAACAATTATGCCCAACTTCTCTGCACTCCTCTTTCAGTTATCCATAAAGAAACTAAAGAAAAAAAGATTCAATCAACACTACATAAACAAACCCGCTAAATGGTAGCTAAAATGACATATGACAAATAATAGGGAACTAATAATTAGACCAAGCAACCATATGACAAAACAAATGTTCTGCAACAAGAAATGAGTATATATGTTTTTATCATTTATCATTTTCAGTAACTTAGAAATGACAATATTAAATTTAAAAATATTCGTAAACTAAAAATAGATTGAACAATTTTATTCCCAACGGAAGCCAAGCATCCTATTAAAGAATTAGGATACCTTTAACGGGTTAACATGGTGCATTGAAATGCTATAGACAGCAACTGCGAAAAAAAAAAAAAAAGGATCAAATTGATCCAACTATTCAAATCCTCCCATAAGCAAAATATGAACCAACCCTTTTGGATCCATTTGGTTTGCTCATGGGAAGCAGCCAACGCACTGCCACAACAAAAAACAAAATTTGGATTCAAAAAAAAAAAAAAGGTAAAAATTAGGCCACAATATTGATATTGATATTGATATTGTGCACTGTTTGAATTAATATGAACACCGAAATTGCTTAAGAGGTTGACACACCACGGCTATGTAGTGAAGAAACAGCTCATTTTAAGGGAAAAAGAGAACCACTCATCAATGATGAAGGCATTGTTAAAATATTGATGAAAATGTTTACCAAATCAATTGACAGAACCCAAGACATGAAAGAAAGCACACCCACAAAACACAAAAGCATGAGAGAGAGAGAGAGAGAGAGAGAGTACCCAAATGGAACTTAATTTAACAGTACTAAGAATGGGAATAAAGGAAAGACTTACTGGAAAATATAATAATTTCAAAACTCACAAACTCAAAATACAACTTATACTCTCAAATCATATTTACAAAACTCTACCAAACGCAACCTTAAATTCTTAATCTCAGGCAAATGAAAGTTTCAAATGATCTTAAATAAGCAAGCTCCATTATCCCTTGTCTAAAAATTGCCTACTGTTTATTATTAAAAATAACATCCAACTCCCACTGTTTGTATAATTTGAATATATCTCTATTTTTGCTAAACCTTACCACCGTACACTACATTTACTTGGCTTGTTATAATAGATTCACTCACTATTTAAATAACAAAAAAGTAGAATTATATAAACAACTGGTTTAACCAAAAGAAAATAAACTATTTTAATTGAGGCATTTTACCTAACATGGAGTATGCATGAAGACACACACAAAATACAGAGGGGTAAAAAGACAGATTTTAATTGAGGCAATATAAATGAGAAATACAATCAAACCCAAATGAGAAACAAATCACATAATATAATTGAGGCCATTTGATTACCCCCTAAAAAATATAATTGAGGCCATTTTGGAGACCTATGCAAGGCATTTTACAGAACATAGTGCATGCATACAAAGAGGATACCGATATGCCTAGAAAAATCAACCCAAAAAAAATGAATTGAGAAACCCTAGATATGCCTAGAAAATTGAGGAAATTTTGAAGAGGATATCGATCTCTTTCTCATTAGTTGTGTCGACCGATCTACCTTGCATTTGATCAAACAATGCACTCGATTAAAATTTGGGTTTGATTGTGTGAGAGAGATCAGTATCCTCTTTGTAAAACCAAGAAAGAAAAGTGGGTAAAAGAGAGAGAGAGAGAGAGAGAGAAAGAAAGAGACTGAAACAAAACCAGAGAGAAGGAAATGAGGATGAGAGAGAAAGAGAGAGGAGGAGGAGGACGTCTGTAAGAGAAAGATAGGGAGGTGTGTTTGGTACTCATGAGCAAGAATTCAAAAAGGCAGACAATGTTATGTATTTAGCCCTTAGATTTTGATTAGGATTGATCTGAACCGTTGGTTATAAATGTATTTCGAAGACAATTTCTTGCCACGTAGAACAAATTTAAAAAATCTTCTTCCCATATTATATAGAATATATCTATTTATCTATCTATACACTAGCATGTCACCCGTGCTATGCACAGGATAAAATAGTATATTATTTACTAAAAATATAATAATTATATTTAATTTTTGTCTTTTATCTCTCATAAATAAAATTATATATGTATAAGTTTAAGAGTTTTGTTTCAAATGTTCTTTTACTATAATATATAGTATAGATAGATTAAAAAGACAGAGAGAGAGAAAGAGAGACTGAAACAAAACCAGAGAGAAGGAAATGAGGATAAGAGAGAGAAAGGAGGAGGATGTCTGTGAGAGAAAGATAGGGAGGTGTGTTTG